TAGTTTATATCTTTACGAAGGGATGCTACACAAGCACAGCTACCCGTGAAATGGCAAGCTTTAATGAGCAGCAGCTATCTAATGTGGTGTAATAATGCTCGTTTCTACGCTGCATGGAGGATAGCAGAGATATTCCTGCGAATGGCATATACATACAGATTAAGTAAATTGGATTTGCTGCCAAGATCTGTTCTATGGCTTACAATCCAGCCATATGAGTGATGCTATATCTTGACTCATTCTACAAGATGCTCTTCTAGCAGTGCAGGCAATGACTCATCTTCGGACTGATCCTTCTATGCCAAGAGTCCAGTAGCTGATTAATGCAAGCGTGTAGACAGGCAGAGGATGTTCTTGATAGTGGCAGCCGTTGGGTGGATACATGGTCTGTACAGGGAACAAACTATTTCTATGTCTGATAGAGATCACAGACAAGAGTCATCTATAAATGTGTAGTCTGTTCGTGTGCCTGATTATGCTCACGTAAGATTTGCTCAATTTACTTTTCTGACTAGTGCTAAATAAATGCAATTAACTGTATGTTTTTCACAGACTTTATGGTTTAACTGTATCTATGTGTTGGAAATAGACAACCTATATACAATCTCTTACCGTTATACTACAGGAGAATATGTTGATGTTCTGCACTGATGCTGGATATTAGACGATCAACAGCATGCTTCCCAGACAAACTACATCCATTCAACTGGATTGCACAAGAATACATGGAAACATCCTAGAGTATCTACTTTATGTTGTATATCCAGCGAATTACATCTAGCACAGTCTGGAATGATTTTGCATGACATGTTTGACATCTGTCAATGTACTAAATAATGTACTAAAAGTTTTTCAAAAACAATTGTTGAGTAGTAGAATTTATTCACAAGGATTTACCAGCACAGTAATGATTGTATGCTGACAGAAATTACTGTCTTGCTTGTGGCCAAAGCTTATATATGCCATTGTGATTTTTAAGCTCAGAGATAAATCGTTGTGATTTCCAGTCAAAATTCGGATAATTTAATTAATTTAAAAATTTTTAACTCATACCCTAATGAATATTGTACAAACAAAAAAGGCACACAAAGTAATTTGCAGCTTTATTGTGCTTATGGAAGCTACATTTCAGAGCTCAAACAGTGATGTAAACCCCCGAGCCATTCAAAGTTCCAACCCACTTAGAGATTTTAGAACTGAAAGGCGAGCAGTACATTCTTTGCATTATAGCTTTGAAGGGCATTCTAAGAATGAAACTGAAATATCTATACCTGCCAAAGGTATTACATCTATTGACAGCAATATTAAGAGACTAGTGAAGTTAAAGGAACTAAATCTTGGTGGTAATAAGCTAAGATCATTACCAGCCGAGATAAGAGAGTTGAAAAGTCTACAAAAACTGGATCTTAATTGCAACAAATTTGAAACATTTCTAGAAGTAATAGGAGAGTTGGAGAATCTACTAGAGCTGAATCTCAACTTTAACAAACTCAAGACACTGCCATCTGAGATGGGAAAGCTGAAGAATCTACAAGTATTGATTCTCAATGATAACAAACTCGAGAGACTACCACCTGGGATAGGAAGGCTGAAGAATCTATTGTATCTGTATCTCAAAGGCAACAAGCTTAAGACACCACCACCCGAGATGGGAAAGCTAAAGAATCTACGAGAACTGAATCTCAATAATAACCAACTCGAGACACTACCAGTTGAGGTGGGAAATCTGAATCTACAAGAGCTATATCTTAATGGCAATAAACTTGAGACACTTCCAATTGAGATAAAAAAATTGTCCGGTTCATTGGAAATTCTGGACTTAAGAGGCAATAACATTTTAGAGGAAGGAGATGGAAAAAGGACTCTAGGTAAGAAAGAATTGAGAAAGATATTTGAAGATCGTGTTGTGTTTGATGGGGATGCTCTACGAATACCACAGTGAGTCAATTATTGAATAATTCAATTTACAAGCTTAATGTAGTTCTTTCTCTTCAATTCGTGCTTTGGATGTAGGAGTGTGTCTTTACCATAGTAAGTCTTCGAACATTATCTCGAAGATTCTTTAGTTTGTTCATATCCTTCTATCCTAGTCTTCTGGGACCTTCTTGGGTACTGAAGCCATTCTCTTCGTGATGGATTGTGATCGTCTTTAGTTGGGTGCTCTTAAAAATGCCCTCAGGAGTATTTTGGCAAGCATGGCATAAGAATCGTATTGATAGAAAGCTGAGACAAGCAAAAGCATGGAAGATATGGTTGTGTAAATTCAATGACAGTTTAGAGCCAAGTCTTTGGAGGGCTTAGTCGGCTGGCAGAGGCACAGCTAAGTATAGGAGTGAACTAGCTTTGAGGCTAGGCAGCAGTCTTCTCTAGGCAAGTCAGTAGGTACATGGTAGTATCACCACCAGTTCTTGTTTGGCAATCCTCTAGCGTATTCTCTGCCAATGAACACTTTAGGTCCAGCCCTTGGATGCAGTGGTTGACAAACACCTCATTTCGAGTGAATAGACAAAGTAACTGGCATAATGCACACATACTTTTCAATGCCAAGAACCATAGACTGGCAACTCAATAAAATAATGCTCAAAAACATTGTGTAGAAGATAGAGGTTGAAGGATATTAGTGAATAAAAGTGTTTGAAATCAGTATCAAGACCAATTTAATTAGTTTGAGACATCCAATCCATCTCACTCTCCCGGTCTAGTCCAGTAAGTTTGATGCCTACTTCATCCAGTTTCTTTTTTATATCGCTAAGTGGAAGACTCATATCTATCTCTACTTCTTTTTTATCTTTCGAGAGTATTAAAGTATGTAGGTTTGGAAACACCTTTTTGATTGTTGCATCAATCTTTGACATGTGATTTCCACGCAAGTCCAGATACTTCAAGTTGGGCATGGTTCTGTATTTATCTGCCTCAGCATCCAAATACTTTTGAAAGCTGACGTGCTTAATTAGGTTATCATTCAAAAAGAGATATTCAAAACCTGTGAGTTCAGATAAGCATGGCATCATTGTCAATCCAACATCAATCAAAGATAGTTTTGCTAAATTATTGAGATCTGGACTGTTTAGTGCAGCAATACCAATTACCGTTGTTGATATACTCAATTCATCAGTTACATAATGTTCAATGAGGAATTCCCACGCATTGGTTGGAAAATGATGAAATTCAAAGATTGATACCGAGATCTTCACGAGTCCATACTCATCTAGATAGTTCACGGCTTCTTGAAGTGCTTCCTCTTTTAGACTACCATCTTCATTTAACAATCTACATCTTGTATGTCTGAAATAACAATACAGTGTCATTGCCACAACTTCATGAATGTCACCTTTATTCCTTAGATAGTCTTCGTGTTGGGCAAGATTTACTCTTTCAAAATACTCATTGATTATTTCAGAGATTTCAGGATCATTCATAAAATTAGTAAAGTGGTTATCTGGGTCCTTGAAAACTCTGGACTTAGAAATTGAACTGGCCGAGGTGTTGTCGGATTCATTGCCTGGAGTGGAAGTACTTTGGAGCTGTTTTTCTGAAGGCTCTTGCTCACTCGTTGCAGTGCAGCAGGCATCTGAGAACAGGGTAAGAAATCCAACAGGCAGTGCTCTGATCAGATAATTTACGGTTTTGATTGACAAGCCGTGCATGGATGGCATGCAAAATTTTAATAAAAATATGGTCGATTTAATTTATCAGTTGATTTTGGTATGACAGGGAGAGTCAAATGTAGTGGATCTGTGCACATAACATCTATTCAGCTTATAGTATGCAAGACAATGTGAGACAGGAATATAAAGTGTGTGGTATAAGAGAAAAGTAGTGAACATAAAACAAACAAGAGATATGAGGATAGATCAATATTACATTGTAGTAGTTAGACTAATGGAGTGTATGTGGACGTATTATAGATATGGAATGTTAGATAAGTATGGACAGAAGATAGACATGGATAGGAGTAGAGGATTGGATATTAGATGGGGTTTGGATAAGTAAGATATAGATAAGGGCCAGATTGGCAGGGGAAAATAAAAATATAGTAAAAATTATTTAGAAAAATTTTAGGGGTGCACTGTTGGGAAAGCAGCAGCGAGGAGTGGTTGCAGGACTTCCGGCCGGTGGGAATTTCTGCGTCAGCAGAGCGAATGTTCCACAGAGGTGGCCAGAGTGGAGACACCGGACAGAACGAGACGTGTGGCTTGAGAGTACCAGAGAGGGGGATGGAGAAGTATGGAAGAGAGATAGAAACAAAGATAGAAGGAGGATATAGATATAGGTAAGTAGTAGATATAAGTAGGAAGGATACTAAGAAGGTAGAGATTTTGGGAGTATGATGGAACATTTTGGAAGGAAGGGATATGGGAAGGAGGACAGAAGAATAGTTGGGAAGAAGTGGAGTTAATTGAAGGACCAAGGTAGCTTACTAAGGTAGTTACGACAGGACTCACGAACAAAGAGGATTTGACACAAGATTGTAGCAAGATACTATTGTCCGATTTTTTGGTATGGAGGACCCTAAAATTTTTGAGTTTTAATGGGCAGAGAAGATACGATCGGATTGAGAGAACTCTTTTGAGATTAGATCGTGGGATATGAAGGACGCGACATGAGGAATTATATGGGAAGATACTATATGAGAAGCAGGGACATTACTTTTAGGTGGTATATTTTTGAGACGAAGGATGAGGAGTGGGGGATAGAAGTTGATGTAGACAGTATGGAGGATATGAGACGGTGGTTAGTGGTGAATAGAAGTGAGACAGAGTAAGAAAGAACACGATACGTGAATAAGAAGACAGGCTAACAGAAGGATATAGTTAGGAGGAAGGGACAGTGTTTGACAGAAGTAGAGTAGATGTGATAAAAGGGAGGAGAGAAGAGTAAGGAATGGATAGGGAATAAGTAAGTACGAAAGTAATAATGAGTATAAGAGAAGGTAAGGGATGTATGAAGACACAGAGTGATAGTTAGTAGGGAAGTATTGGAAGGAAGAGGGCAATGGGGATCTAGGTAGGGGAGGAAAATGTAGAAGACTAATGGTGAGGGACTTAAGTGATATAAGGAATAAGTGATAATAGTAAAAAGAAGTAAGGAATAGAAAGACTAAGTGATAAGGGATAGTAATAAGAGTAAAGATAGGTTAATAAAGGGAATGATAAATATACTAATAAGGTAAGGAAGTAATTAACAGGAATAATAAAATAGCTAACTAGCAGACTATAAGTAAGTGATTAGTTAAGAAAGAGATAAATAGAAAGTAAGTGATAGTAAGGAAAGTGGTTGATGTAGAAGATATAAGTGGTAGGGAAGAGAGAAGGTACTATTAGAAGGGCGACTAGGTATAGGTGAGTGATAGTATACATGAGTGATGAGTTAGAGCAGGATTCTCGGGAACGAACGATTGTAGTTGATTGTATGATATATGTTCTATTGAGTACCTCTCTTGGCATCAGAGCTTTTTGCTATATCACTCCTAAAACTTTTTATTTATGCTGGCCAGCCAGAAGCACATCTTGACGGGACAGACTTTTAAGATAGATTGTTTATGTATGAGACACGGAAGTGAGTGGTTGTAGATCTATTAGAGGATGTACAGTGAGTGGGCTAGTGAGGCAAGTGGTTCGTGGGATGGACACAGGATTAGATAGAAGATAAGAAAGACTAGTGGCAATATAAATAAGTGAGGAACAAAGAGTTAGTGATAAGAAGGTGATAGTTAGTTAGCAGAAAGATGTTGGGAGAGGAAAGAATGTAAGTGAGGTAGATGTAAGAATGAGGAAAGGCTAATAAGTAGGTGATAGCAGGAGAGGACTAATGGTAAGGAGCCAAGAGGGGCAGAAAATAGTAGATTAATAAGGAGGCGAGAAAAGGCATTGGTTGCAAGATATAGAGAAGTGAAGTGTGGGGAGAGGAAGAAGAGAATGGAAGTGATAAAGATAATGGTAGCTGAGTGATATAAACGACTATAAGAGAGGAGGAGTGAAGAATAAGGGCAGTAAGAATACCAATAAGAAGGACTAAGTAGGTGATACTAAAGTGAGGAGAAGGTAGGAAATTAATGGCAAGGAAGTGAGAATAAGATTAAGTATAAAGTAAGAAATGTGTAGGGATTTTAGTATGGATGTCAGTAAAAATTATAGTAAAAATTATAGTAAAAATTATAGGGGCTAGAGGAAAAGTAGAAGAAGGGGAGGAAGAATAAGTAAGGAATAAAGAACAAGTTAATATAAGAAGACAGACTAGCTAATGATAAGAATAAGTAAGGAAAGTAGTTAGTACTAGATATTAAGTGTAAGTGGTAGGGATTATGGTGGTAAGTTATGTAGGGATTTAGGAAAAATTTTAGGAAAAATTATAGAAGCTAGAGGAAGGAATGGAAGTGAAGGTAGGGTAAGTAAACTAAGAAAGTAATAAGTAAGGAATAAGTAAATAGAAAGTGATAGGGAAGTAATAAAAGTAAGGAATATAAGGGATAATAAGATAAGCAAGTGATATAAGGCAATGAAAGGAATGTAAAAGAGGAATATATGGAAAGAAGATGCTAGATAGGGATAGAAGTAAAATAAGTAAGGAAAGAATAGAAAAATGGGAGTAAGTGAGTAAGGAGGTAAGTAAATAGCAGACAAATAGTAAGGTAAGTAATAAGCAAGGAATACGAATAAGAGTAAGTAATAAGTAAGTAGTATAAGTAATAATAAGGTAAGAGATATAGACTAAGTGATAGTAAGAGACTATGAATAGGTAAGTAAAATAAGGAAGGAATAGTAAGGGAAGTAGAGATAGCTAAGAAATAAATAAGAAGTAAATAGAATATAGGCAAGTGATGGATAGGATAATAAAAGACTAGGTGATCGTAAGGTAAATAAGTGGTATGAGTAGCAATGGGGGAATATAAGTAAGAGGTAAGAGGAATAATAGAAGATTAAGTATAGAAGTGATGGATAGGATAGCTAGATATTAAGTGTAAGAGGTAGGGAGGATGTGAAAGGGATAAGGATGTGGTAGGGATTATAGTGGGAAAATTATAGGAAAAATTTTGGGGGCTGGGCTTGCTTATTATTACTCGTCTCTTACTATTAGTCTGCCACTGAGTATCTCTTGGTTCCTTATTAGTTTATTTACTTGTCTGTTAGTTATCCCCACATCCCCTACTACTTAGTCTCTATACTTATTATCTTGTTTTTATTACTTATTACTCCTTACCTTAACTTCCTTATTTATTGCTTATCTAATATTCCCTTGTCTTCCTTATTTTACTTACCACTTGGCTCTTCCCCCATCTTCCTCTTTTACTATTCCATTTATTTACCCACCTTTACTTATCTTATAAGTAGTTGGTTCCCTGTCTTACTCATCTTCTTCCTTAGTCTTAGTTCCCTACCTTCACTTCCATTTTTCCTTAGTGATCCTCTGTCTTATTCATCCCTCTCTACTCTTTTCCTCCTAATGACTAAAGTAGCAAGGTAAGTGGGGCTAAGTAAAATAAGGAATGAATAGAAAGATAAGAGTAAGTGATCAGACTAATAAGGAATGATATTGGGAAGCAAGGTGGTATAAGTAAGTATAAGGTAAGAGGTAGTAATAAGAGGAGTAATAGAGAGATATTAGAAATGAGTGGGAAGGGAAGTGATAAGTGAGTATAAGGTAGGAGATATAAGGGTGTTGGAGAATAAAGTAATAACAAGTAGGAAGGTAGTAAGTAGTATACGTAAGGGAGGTGATGATAAGTAGGAATAAGCAAAATAAGGGAAAGGTATCGAACTAACAACTAAGTAAGAGGTAAGGAATAAGGAAGGAGATATTAGGGAGGTAAGAGATAAGGAGGTGACTAACTAACTGATATGAAGAAGAACTACTAAGTAAAGTGCTAGGTGATAAGTAAGGAGAGTGAGAAAGGAAAGACAGAAGCGAGGTCGGGGAGGAATAAGGTGGTGATAAGAAGGGGGTGGGTATATGGTGAGGAAAGAAGTAGGAAGAGATGATACGGTAAGAGATTAAATAAGAATAATAGGTAAGTATAAGAGATGGTAAGGGGAGGGAATAAGTAAAGATAGGGAGTAAGAGATAATAAGGTGATAATAAGGTAATGTGAGTAGTGATAGGGGTAGGGAATAAGAGGGTAAGAAAGTGATATGAGTAGTGATAAGGTAAGAGAGTAAAAGAGAGTAAGGAAGTGATAATAAGGTAAGTAATAAGAGTGATAACAGGGTAATATAAATAATGATAGGGTAAGGAAGCAATATGAGTAGTAATAAGGTAAGAGAGTAAAAGAGAGTAAGGAAGTGATAATAAGGTGACATGAGTGATATAAGGAAAGGAGTAGTAGGAAGAATAAGTAAGGAAAGTAGTTAGTACTAGATATTAAGTGCAAGTGGTAGGGATTATAGTGGTAAGTATGGGATTTAGGAAGAATTATAGGGGCTAGAGGAAGGAAGACTAAGGAAAAATGGAAGTGAAGGTAGATAGAATTGTAAGTAAGACGGGGGAAGAGGATGGGCAAGACAAGCAACTACTAAGCAATAGTTGGTAGCTAGTATAATGCTAGTTATGTATGGGATAGATAGAAGCTTTACATAGTATTGGATGGTTTAGTTAGATAGTATAGGCAAGAGAAGACGAGTGAATAAGGAAGGATGTTAGATAAGTGGTGAATAAGGAAATTAAGGCAAGGAATAGTAATAAAAATAAGATGATAAGTAAAGAGACTAAGTAGTGGGGAAGGGATACCTAACAAAGAAGTGAGTGATAAGGAAGTGATATTAGGGAGGGAAGAGATAGGGTAAGTAATAAATAGGGGAATGAATAGAAAGATAAGAGTGAGTGATAGTAGTGAGGTAAGAAAGACTAATAGATAAGGGATGGTGTAAGTAAAGATGGGGTAGGTTAATAAGTAAGTATAATAACAAGGGAATTAAATAAGAAAGAGGAAGGGAGATAATAAGTAAGTAGTGTAAGTAAGATAGCTAATAATAAAATAGGGTAAATAAATTAATTAATTGGCTAAGTAAGTGAGGAAGTGACTATAAATAAGGAAGGGAAATAAGAAATGGTAAGGGAATATGAGGAAAGAGAGTGATATGAGTAGTAGCAAGGTAAGGAAGTGATAACAGGGTGATATGAGAGATGATAAGGTAAGGAAGTGATATGATAATAATAAGGGAATATGGGGAATAGTGATATGAAAGACAGATTAATAGGACGTGGCTAGGAATATAGGCAGTACATAGGGATGATGGTAATAAGTAAGAGTGGGAGAAGAAGAGGTATAAGGTAAGAGATAGTAAGTGATAAGAGGGAGACTAGGTAATATAGCTAATAAACCAAGTAAGTAACAAACTAAGGAATAATAAGGGAATATAAATATGATAGGGTAAGGAATAAAAGAATATAATGATAAGAGAGATAAGAAAGGAATAGAGGGTAGTGGTGTAAGGGAAGGGATGAAAGAGTAAAGGTAAGTAGTATAAGTAATAAAAGGAATAGAGAATATAGTAATAGTAAGGAAGTATAAAGAAGGACAGAGTAAAGGGATTATAGTATATAAGTAATAGAAGGAATAGAGAATATAGTAATAGTAAGGAAGTATAAAGAAGGACTGAGTAAAGGGATTAAGTACTAAGATAACTTAGCAGACTATAGGTAAATAAGTAAGAGATAGAAAGAAAGGAAAGATAATAAGTGAGGAAAGTAAGGAGTGATATTAAGGGGATTGAGAAGTATAAGTGATAATAGGGAAATATATATAAATATAATAAATAAGCACTAAGTAAGGTAAGGATTATGAGGAAGGAAGGTGATAATAAATATAATAGTAAGTAAGGAATATAAGAGAGAATAGGGGAATATAGGCAGTGGGAACTAATAGGTAAGAGATGATGGGTAAAGATAGGGTAGGTAGTAAGGAATAAGGTAAGGAATATGAATGGAGACTAATAAATAAGGGATAATGACAAGGGAGGTTAAGTAAGTGATAAAGGAAGAATAAATATAGTGATAAGTAAGGAACAGATAGAAAGATAAGTAAATAGAAGGTAGGTTAGGGGGATAGAGATAAGTAAGGAAAGAAAGGAGAATAGTGAGTAAGGAGATGTAGGGGAGGAGTAGGAGAGAATAAATATAAATAAGTAAGAGATAAGTAAGTAGTAAGGTAATGAAGTAAGTATAAGGAGAGAATAAGGGTAAGTAATTGAGAATGAAGTAATAGTAAGTAATAGGGTAAGGAATATGAGGAGTAATAAGGAAACTAACTATAACTAACTAATAATAAGTAAGTAATATAACTGATAATAAATAGCTAGGTAATAAGGTAACTAACTAATAATAAGTAAGTAATAGGGTAGGGAAGTAATAAGAGTGATATGAATA